GGGAGTGAACCTGTGGATGGGAGAGCTCTCTCTGTCTTTTCTTTAGACTAGGGGCAGAGCAGTGGGGGGGTGGTGGTGCGGGAATTCTGTCCTCACCCCACACCCTTCTGCAAGGACTGCCTCACAAATGAGACAGCAGGGGGGTGGGGAGCAGAGCGCCCCCCACCACGGGGTCCTGGGAGTGTGAGCTGATGTTGTCATCGTGGGACCCCAGGGCCGGCACAGGGTGCTCTTTCCTTCCGGCTGTTTGTATCCATCAGGAAGCACCAGGGAAAGAGCCCTCCCCCCACCCCCCGGTATTTCAAGCAGGAGGAGATTTGGTACAGGGAAGGCGATTCCTAGCACATGCGGGACGTCAGCGAGCCGCTGCGGCCTTTGGGACAGCAGAGTGCGGAGCGACAGGAGAGCACCACCTCTGCCCACAGCTGCCCACAGCCCCAGGTCCTCGCTCAGGGACAGCAAGACCAGGTGCGCTGGAAGACCACACTTAGGCCTCTTAAAAAAGCATTTTTATTTTCCTTCATGCATTTGAACGGCACAGACAGAAAGAGAGACAGAGAGAGAGATCCCCTGTCTACTGGTCCACTCCTCAAATGGCCACCAACAGCCCAGGCTGGGCCAGGCCGCACCTTCGAGCCAGGAGCTCCATGTGGGTCTCCCAGTGTGGGATGCAAGTACTTGACCCATCAGCAGCTTCCTCCCAGGGTGCACATGAGCTGGGAGCTGGGATCAGAAACGGGGCTGAGATTCCAACCAGGGCACTCCATCACGGGACGGCGGCATCTTCACCCATGAGCTCACCGCTGTGCCGGATGGCCACCCCAGGAAGGCTTCATCCAGGGCCATCGTGACGCATATCAGGACGACTTCCCTGGGGAGCAAGATCAAGGTCAACTCCAAGTACAAGCACACATGGGGATTTCTGTGTATGGCTGCTGGTGGATGGAGAATTACTAGGAGGAGAGCTCAAGGTAGAGGGGTTCTAGCTGCCAGCAGGCCAGGGGGTCGGCTATCACCTGGGCGATGGCTGGCGGGGAGAACAAGGGCTCGGACCAGACAAGAAGGATGACCGGGTATCAAGTGTGTGTGCGGGGGTCGGTGGGGACGCTCCCTAAACCAACGCAGCAGGATTCCGGCTCCGAGTGGGCTGTGCAGGCCCCGTGAGGGCAGGAGCCAAGTTGGAGGTCCTGCAGAGAGGAGCCTCACCCAAGTTTGGACAAGGAGAGGGTGTTGTTCAGAGAGCCATGGGTGGCCTGGTCTCGCCTGTCCTCTGCCATCCAGGACCCCCAGCGCAGACCCTGTGCCGCAGCAACTCATGCAAATTGACGCCCGGGGGTAGAGCCAGCCGACACGCCAAACTCCCACTTCGGCTCAGCTGGGATCTGCAGTTCTGCGGCTTTCTCTGTGTGTGTGTGATTCTCTGGTTTTTAGTGTCCTTTGATTCCTGAGCACTCCGTCCTGAACTTCTGTAGCACTTTGATTCTGCATTTCTTTGATTCTGTGGTGTGATCCTGGGATGTGGACTCTCCGGCTCAATTATTCCAAGGAAGAATCTTTTTATTGGTGGGGGAGGGGATCAATGTCGCCAGGTTGCTCTTGGGAGACACGGGTCCCTGCTGGGAGGGACACTCAGGAAGGAGGACGATGGGGGAGATGCTGACGGTGAAGCAGTCTCAGGTGTTAGCTGTGTCCAAGGTCAAAGCCGGAGCAGCTGCCCCTGCTGGAGAGTGGATACAAGGTGATGGCATGGAGGGGGCGGGGCTGCAGTGGCGGGATGGAAGCCAGCACCCTGTGATGGACACACTGGGACTGGGGCTGGGGGTGGGACATCCTCCCGTCGGGTGGGGTGTTCCCTGCGGCTTCCTGTGACCGCCCCTTTGCATCCTCCTCCCCCACCAAGGCAGCCTGCCTTCGCATCCCCTCCTGCCTGCTGTCATCTGCAGGTTAGTCACTCAGCTAACAGCCCTAGGGAACTTAGAGCGATCTGAGTGGGGCCCTTCTAGACACAGCACGGCGTCAACAGGAAAGACGTCACAGCCTTCAGACGCCAAGTTTCTTTCTCACCTCTGTAATGTCCACTGAGGGCCTGGGCAGCTACAGTCCATGGGGCGATTCAGGGAGCCAAGGTCCTCAGGGCAAAAAATCTCACAGGGACGGTGCCCTGCCTGGGCCTTCACACGGCCAGCAAAGTGGGAGGGCACTGGAGAGGCAGTTGGCTGGGTGTCTAGGACGCATAGGACAAGGTGTGGCGCCAGCAGCGGCCACCACAGTCACGGATGTGAACCTGGCTTGCACGGCTCGGAAAGCTGTGCCCTTCCCCTCTCAGACCATGGGGCCCGAGCCTCAGAGGAGCAGCTGCAGCTCCTCTCGCCACCCTCCAGCCGCCGCAGGTGCACCAGAGCAGCTGCACCACTGTCTTTCCTGCCCATCGCAACCAGGCCTGGATCCACGAATGGAGATGCAGAGACGCATCCCGCTGACGTGGCAGAGCCACGCTGTGGCTGTGACCCTCGCAAAAGACACCCATGGGGGCTGGCGCTGTGGTGTAGCGGATGAAGCTGCCGCCTGCAGTGCCGGCATCCCATATGGGCACTGGTTCCAGCCCTGACTGCTCACTTCCCATCCTGCTCTCTGCTGTGGCCTGGGAAAGCAGTAGAAGATGGCCCAAGTGCTTGGGCCCCTGCACCCATGTGGGAGACACAGAGGAAGCTCCTGGCTCCTGGCTTCAGATTGACACAGCTCCGGCCATTGTGGCTATCTGGAGAGTTCTTTGCTGCCGATGGAGGATATGACGGTGGTCCCAGTTCTTCTTTCTCTTGCGCTCTTGGTGAGTCCCCCAGCTTCCCTCGCCCTCCACGTCTGACCCCCCCAGCTCTCTTGTGGGGGCAGCTGGGGGTGAGCATCTTGCAGGGGCACCGGGTTGGTCCTGTGTCCCTTTAGGTCCCCTCCTTCCGTGCCCTGTGCCTAAAACGCTGCCATGCAAAGCGCCTTCCCTTTAGCCCAAGAGGTTTCCTCCCTCTTAAGCTCCCTGAGATAGAGAGCTCTCCGGTGATCTGGAGGAACTTGAAGACAGCAGAGTTCAGGGGAGCAAAGGCAGCAGGGAGCCCGAGCCGTGGCACAGCTGTGTCAAGAACACTGGGCTGGGTCAGAAGACCTCTGACCTCTGCCCCATGGATGCGATCTCTCTGCCTCGGCTTCCTGGTCTGTAAAATGGGAAGACCCCAGTTATGTCTTACACAGAGAAAAGCGACCGAGAGGAAAAGGGCAGCTTCCGTGAATATGGGATTGTGCAAACGTGGCAGGAAAATCTTCTGAAATATTAACTGAAGGCCCCCTCCCTGTGTTTTGCATTTATTTATGTCCTGTGGCCTTGCTCAGGCAGCAGCCAGGCCAGGCTGCAGCTCTTGCCTCAGGGCCAGCAGTGACACAGCACAAAGCCAGCCAAGGACCAGGCAGGTGACGCGCGCTCCTTTAGACACTGAGCTGTGGAATGGAGAGACACGGGGGGCGGGCTGAAGCGGGGCGGAGGGGAGGGGGCCTGTCACGTTCTCCAGGGCAGAGACGTGGGCATCACCACGAACAAGATGACATCCACTCTGGACTCCCCGGGGACGCTCGCCTCCCAGGAGCCCCACTCACGCTCTTCTCTGCGCGCCCCAGGACTGCCCACGTGGTCGGCACGGCAGAGGGCGGGTGATTTCCAGGGCTGCTCTGGAGGGGCCTTTGAAGCGTCCACCTGGTCCTGCTGGAGTCCTCACTGTGACCACAGCGGCTCCAGGTGACCAGGCCGGAGTGAGGCCCCTGCCCGCCTTCACAGGATACCGCACAGTCCCCTGGGGGGAGAGGCAGGTGAGTTCCCGACCCCCGGCATCCAGGTCACAGTGTGGGTGCTCACTGCACCTGAAGAGGGTGACGTGCTCCGCACCTGCTGGTAACTGGGGCACCCAGGCCGGCTTGAGCGCTGTCCCATGATGCTCCCAGAGTGTGGACCCAGCCCCGGGAGAGGGGGAAGGGAGCACCGGTGCTCTGTGGTTTGGTGAAGAACTGCCTAAGCTGGTGGAGAACCGAGTTACATCCAAGGTGTTGGCGTCCATACATGGTTTTGGAAGAGCATACATTTTCCTGCCCAGGAGCCAGGAACTCAGGCTGGGTCCCCGACGTGCGTGCCAGGGACTCGGCGCCTCCAGCTCTACCCTTTGGCGCACCAGCAGGAAGCGGGAGTCTGCAGCAGAGATCCAGATAGGAAGCGGGCGTCCTCTGTGCCGACTGCCCGGCCCCCTCCATGAACTTCGTGGCGACTCCTTGTATTTCTGCCGCCCCCAGAACGTGGGCTGCGACAGAAAAGATGTCAACGTCAGGAACGTGGACTTGTAGTTGGGACCGCCTGAGCTTGGAGCCTCCCTGTCCTGTTGCAACCAATTTTCTGGACTGTGGAGTGTGTGTGTGTGTGTGTTTGTGTGTGTGTGTGTGTTGGGGGTTAGCCTGTGTGTGTGTGTGTGTGTGTGTGTGTCTGGTGGCGGGGGGGTCAGCCAGGACAAGAAGAACCAGGTTTTGGGGTAGAGGGCAAGGGCACGTTTTCTCAGGAAGCCTGGGCTCCACACTTCCTCAAATCCAGAGCTTGGGGGGGGGGCGCCCCACCTGGGCTTGTCTCTTCTCTGGGGCTCCCCACGGCACCTGCCTCACGCCAGCACGCGCGAGCCCGGCTTGAGGCCCAAGCCCTTCAATTTGCCTCGTTAGAAAACCCGGTGCTAAAGAGACCATTAGCAAAAGAGGGGAAGATAAATTGCCCGCAGCAGCGAGGCCCAGGAGGCCAGGGCAGAGCAGGTGAGGGAGAACAGGCCTGTGATTACCGGGCAGGGGGCGCCTCAGGAGCCCGGGCGGGCACGCGCTTCCACTGGAGATGTCAAAACATTTGAAAATCCTCTTCCTTTGGCGAACTGACTTACCAAAATTTCTTGCTCTTTTTCTTTCCTCTTTTTTTTTTTCTTTTTTGTACACAGAAAAAAGTCTGGAGTAGAATGCACGATCATCCTGCCCAGAGTCAAGCCAGCTGAGCTCTGGCCCTTCCTAGCTGCTGTCAGGCGTCAGGCAAGTCCTGGGACGCCCCGGACCCTCGGGTCCCTCACCTGGAATGAGGGGATGGTGGTAAGCCCGGGAAAGCGGCCCAGGGTCTCCGTTTCCCTCGGGGTGCATGCTGGGGCCTGTGTGCCTGCTCCTTCTGGGGTCTCCGTTCCTCTTGGCATGCATACTGGGGTCTCTGTGCCTTTGGTCGGTCAAGCGTGCTCCCTGGTCCCTGGTCCATAAGGAGACGCTCAGGCCAGCGTGCTGGGGGGGGGGTGAGCTGTCCCCGCTGAGCGCGTGCTGAAATTCACCTCCACTTCCAGATGACCACCGGTGTCTGCTGGGGCAGCTCCAGAGTGACCAACAGACCCCCAGGCTCGTGGAGGTCGTGGCTCCAGGCAAACCTCGAGATGGTGCGTGTTTGCATGCAGACCCCGGTGCGTGGAGTTCTGGGTTTCCTGGAGCATACCCGCACTGCCTTGCAGTGTGCAGCATAGCGCTCCGGCTGGATCAGCAGTGTGAACCTGTCATGAAATCGCAGTGTACTACCTCCCCATCATCTGAGCTCTCTGAGAAAGGGCTCCGGGCACCTTGCTCAGTACGGGGCTGCCCCAGCAAACAGCGCATCTGAGGGGTGGGCTGCACAGGCACGTGCCAGGTCTGGGGTTGCTCTGTGACTCAGTGGTGACTCACGGCTACTGCGTGGCCATGGGAACCTGCTGGGAGGACAGAGTGCTCTCTGCTTTGGATCTTCTTAGTTTGGACACCATCGTCCCCCACATCCCATTACACAAGGGCTCGGTCCCTGAGGTGTTGCTGCTGGGAGGTGGTAGAAGCACAGGGGGGTGAGCCCCAGGGGCTGGGGGCTCCTTGGTGCCCCTGGAAGGTTGTTTTCCTGTGACCTTGGGTTCTGTGCTCAGGAGAGGGTTGTTGTGAAAGCCTGAGTTGGGGCCCAGCCGCCCTCTCTCCTCCCGGGCTTGCCGTGGGATTGTGCTTCTGCCTGCCTTGTGCCATCCTCCCCGCTTCTCAGAGCCCAAACCAAGGGGGCTGCCTGATCCTGGACTTGACCCTCAGAAACTGCCATCTAAATTAACCTTTCTGGCATGGTCGTTTGGCACAGTGGTGAAGATGCCACTTGGGACACCCACATCCCACATTGCGATGCCTGGCTCAGGTTCCCGGTTGCAGCCTCAGCTCCCTGCTCAGGCACTCGTGGGAGGCAGCAGGGGACGGCTTGAGCACTTTGGTCCCCGCCACCCACAAGGGAGACCTGGGTGAAGCTCCCGACTCCTCTTTTCAGCCTGGCCCAGCCCCAGCTGTTGTCACTTGGGGGATGAACCAGCAGACGGATGATTCTCTCTCTCTCTCTCTCTCTCTCTCTCTCTCTCTCTGTTTTTCAAATAAATACAAATAAACTAAAACACTTGCATACCCCCGCTATACATTTAGTCGCCTCAAGTATGTCAGTGGGGCAGCAAACAGCTGCCTTGTCCCGTGTGCAGTTGGACGGGAACAGGACAGGAGCTGTGACAGCTGTTATTGGTGGGGAGCTGACCACCCGGAAGGGTGCTGGGCACGGGCATCGGGTCCCAGGCTCCTGCAGGGCCTGGAAGCCGGCGGCTGCTGTTCAAGGTCGGGGCCTCCCGTGGCCTCGTGTGCAGGCACACGGCCCCTGCTCCATGCATGCTGGGTCAGAACTTGTCCCTCGCGTGTCCAGAAGCCTGGGCAGACTAGCGGGCAGCCCCTGTGGCAGGGATGATGCCTCCAGCCAGGTGCTCCCTCCTCCACCCTCAATGGTGCAGTCCCTGGACCAGCCCCCCCCACCCCGCCCCGCTGCCCTTGTTAGAAATGCACACTCCCAGGTCCCGCCCCGGCTGACAGAATCAGCAAGTGCATTTTAACAAGCTCCCCGAGGGATTGGTGTGCGGTTGGGTTTGTCTGGAGTACGCCTCTCAAACTGGCTGTGCTGAGCGGTTGGCTATTTAAAAAAAAGAAAATTTTCCAATCCATTGCGCAGTGACACTTTTGTAAAATACAGCAAAAAATCAATTACTGGATAAATTCAATGAAAGATACCTACAGCATCTAAGCCCTCTTTTTTTATTATTATTATTATTAGATTCACTAGGTAAAAAAATTGCTGGCTGTCAAGTCACTATCAAAGTTTCTTTTAAAAATTTAAGTTAATTATTCATTTTTATATTTAAGAGGGGGAATCTGTCATCCAATGGGTCACTCCCCAAATGTCTGCACCAGCCAGGGCTGAGCCAGGCCAAAGCCAGGAGCCAGGAGCTCCATCTGAGTCTCCCAGGTGGGTGGCGGGGGCCCAAGGACTTGAGCCATCACCTGCCACCTCCCGGGCATGTTAGCAGGGAGCTGGAATAGGAGATGGAGCTGGGATTCGAACCCAGGCCTCTCACGTGGCATCCTAACTGCCGTGCCAAACACCTGCTCCCAGTCACGCTTCTACGTCTGCTCGCTGGGCGAGAGCCCCGGGGCCCAGAGAACCTAGGGGGCTCGCTCAAGGTCACACAGCACACAAAAGAAGGAGCCACAGCCCATCTGTCGGGGCATGGCCAGGCAGGAGGAGGGGGGCGAAGGCAACCTTGCAGGAGGTACAAGGACATTGTCCCCTGCACCCTGTATGAGTGACAGCTGTCAAGAAGCCCGGTGTATGGCACTCGCTGTCATGGCAACCCCCACGAGGCGGAAGCTGGAGCCCGCCAAGCTGCCTGCCAGCCCTGGGCTGGGACCGTATCCCTTGCACCTGGCTCTTGGGTGTAGCTCCAGGAACGTAGGTCTCCGTGGCACCCATCCCTTGGCACCAGTCCGTACAGCTGCGCCTCCAGGGGTTAGGAGCAGAGACCAATTGCCAGGAGCCTTCTCCGTCTTGCGTTCCTTTTTCCCTGGAGCCCCGGGGCGGGGCGGGGGGGGGGGCGGGCACAGAGGCCGAGGGTCTGGCGGCCGGGTGATCGCTGCTTCTGGACAGGTTGATGGCTGCCACCGAAGACTTGCCCGAGGACATCAAGGCGAGAGCCACTTCTGAGGCCGGCTGCTCCCGGAGAGCCGACTGCCAGCTCTCTGCCCAGGGCCCAGCGTTTCCCCTCGCCATCTCATTAATCCTGATTTACAGGAAAGGGCGGCCGGCAGGGGCTCTCTTAACAGGCCGAGCAGGCGACTGATTTGCCTTCACTGAAGACAATGGTGCCCAGGAGACCCGGCATTGCTGAATTATTCAAATCAGCCGTGGGAGGGAAATCTGAGGACACAGGGCGGCTGGCATCCCCCTAGCCCCTGGCCAGCCCTGCCGAGCTGCCCCCGGGGCGGCGGTACCTGGGCGCCTGGGGTGGCCGACACGACTCCCCGTTGCCCGCGTCGCGGGCTGCTCCCGGGTGCCCCTCCTGCCTGGGTAGAAGCTGAAATTGGTGTTGATCATCCTTAAGCACCTTGGAGCTCCAGTAATGGATCCAAAATGACATCTCCCACCTGCTGGTCTCCGGGGGGACATTCTGACAAGGACTTCTGGATGAACATGTGACGGGGCGGGGGCGGGGGCGGGGGCGGGCAGCAGGAGACGGCGGCTTTGCCAAGGGCTGTGTGTGTGTGCATGTTTGTGTGTGTGTGTGTGTGTGTATTGCACAGCAGCACAGGACATGGGCTGGACCCGGCCTTGGCAAACCCCGGTGTTTCCCCTCTGGGAAAGAAAAAAAAAAAAAAGGAAAAGGCTCCATGCATAAGCAGATCTCCTTGGAGGCCATTGAGATCAGAGGCAGAACTGCTCGGCCTGGGGGGCGGGGGGGGGCGCTGGTGCCGGCAGAGGACGGGCACCAACACAGGACGGCGGACTCCCCCTGGGCAGGGAGCCTGCGGCGCACACAGGGCACACTGAGGCCCGGAGCAGGGCAAAGTCCGTTGGTGGCCCAAATGGAAGGCAGGGTCCCAGCGTTTGGCTGGGTGTGGGGCGCCGTCCGGGTGAATGGCAGGTACCCGCTGCCGGTCGGGGGCCCTGCACCCCACCCTGAGTTAGGGGCTGGTCAGCGTGTTTGTCTGGGGCCACGACAATTCCTGTTCCACCACCGAGGGCACGGGGGTTCAGGGAGACAGAGGCACCAGGCAGCAGTGTGGGCTGGGGAGGGGGCGCCTGGCTGGGCCTGGGCGGGAGGTCAGGTGCTGTCAAGCCACTCCCAGTTTGGGGGGGTGGGCACGGGATTCCCAGCTGCTGCCTGCACCCCTCCCCCTGGCGGAGGTTTCCTGGGCTCCTTCCTTCCAGGCCTCCTGCCTGCTGTCCCCCATGGGGAGGGACCCGTGAAGTGGTGACCCCTGCTCAGGGAGACTGGTGCTGCTGCCCGCACCCGCGGCCATCCCAGGCGCCGGATCCCGGATCCCAGGAAGGGTCTGCGAGTGGAGGGCGGGGATCTACGAGGGAAGGGTTCCGCTCTCTGCACACACCAGTGCCTTCTGCACCAGCAGGAAGCTGGAATCAGGAGCAGAGCTGGGACTGGGACCGAGCGCTGATACAGGAGCAGTGCATCCCCCAGGGACATCTTTTGGCCTTTTTTTTTTTTTTTTTAAAGATTTATTTTCTTTGAAAGGCAGAGTGACAGAGAGAAAGGACGACAGAGAGATCTCCCATCTGCTGGTTCATTCCCCAAACAGCCACAGCAGCCAGGCTGGGCCAGGCCAAAGGCAGGAGCCTGGAACTCCATCCGGGTCTCCCAAGTGGGTGGCAGGAAGTCAAATGCTTGGGCCATCTTTGACCACTTCCCACATGCCTTAGCGGGGGCGAGATCCGGAAGCGGGGCAGCCGGGACTCGCTGGAACTGGCTCTCCAGTACGGGATGCTGGCATTGCAGGTGGCGGCTTAACCTGCTGTGCCACAAGGCTTGCACGCCCCGCCCCCAGGGACGCCGTAGCTACTGTGCCAGACACCTGTGCTGAGCCCCATCTTTAAACGCAGACATCCTTCCGCCCTCAAGACCATTCATGAGCCCAGCGCCGCCTCTCTGAGTCCAGCGCCGCCTCTGTGAGCTCAGGATTACGACGTCTGCTTTGCAAGGGAAGAAACAGAGAAGGGAAACCATTTCTCGGGCGGCTGGTACCGGGGTGTACACATGTCAGGATTTGAACCCAGGGCTTGGTCCATGGAGCATAGGCCTGTAGGATATGCTACTCGTGGGACACCTTCTCTGTCCTGCTTGAAGCCCCCGCCCCTCAAGGGGGAGATGTCCACGTGCCCCAAAGACTG